CACTTGTTTTGGTCCCAGCTGTTTATCCTAAGGAACTCATTACAGCATATGCATTTTGAGTATATAATATTGAACTATTAAAAGGGATTTTGTTTTGTGGTATGTAGAGTAGTTCTTAAATCAAGATCTAGTCTGTCTCTTGACAGTATTATCTCTGCAGCTTTCTGATGTTTGGTCGATTGAAGGATGGAAGGCTCATTACAGCTCTTTGCCAGCATGAAGTATGATGCAGTTAATTAAAGAAACATAAAGTTCACATGCACTGCTAAAGATCACCTCTGTGCCTCTAAATGCACACTGGCATTATATCAGTTGGGTAATGATGGGATAATTTTGTTCACCATTCTAAGCTGAGGTTTATACAGTCCATTATAGGATGGAAATTTCATCTTATGGTTTAGCTGAAGGTGATGACAGACTGTATGGTCTATAATTTAGGTCAGATTTCCAATAATATTTTGATTTGATGACTCTGAAGTACAAACTTGAATGGTCAGACTTCTGAGCCTTCTTAAGCTTAGGGTGTTTAAGAAGCCAGAGATGCCAGAGGAGAGGCTCACAGCCTTGCTGCCCCTTTGCTGCTTAGTGCACATCCTCTAGCTGGCAAAACCTCTCTCCAGGGAGACATTTGCACAGCTCCTCATGACAGCCTCGCCCAGGAGAGAACTGAGGAACATAAGATAAGAAGCCTGAGAACTGGTGTGTCTCTTGCTCACTTCTACTTTGCTGAGGGAAACCCATCAGGAAAACCGTGGCATTTAAATGAGCAAAGGCACAGTGTTAGTTAGCCCTGATAAACACACATCTACAGAGAGACAGGTGATTATATCAAGAGCATCGGTGGTTAAATACAAAATGTTGTATGAAACAACCAAAAAAATATGTTCACTTTTCTTCGGTACAGCAAATTTTAAGTTCTCTTTGAATAATAAGACAATAAAACTCTTTAGATTTCATGTTTACCAGGTTGTGTATAATAATAGCAGGAAAGATCAAAACCCAGGCAAGCCAGGCCATGACTGGCTGCCGGATGCTGCGTCAGAACAAGAATCACTGAAAATGGGAGTGTTTCCAAAAAGGGAATGGGCTGCATCATTCATTCCTGACAGAGTTATGCAGCTGTTACTTAAGCCAGTCCTTTTCATGCCATAGTTCCCTGATAGTATCAGGAACTACATGGACATTTGTCAAAACAGGATGACATCTAAAGATAGCATTGAACTTAAGGGAAAGGAATTTAAAAGAAAACAAATCACTATGGTTACCGTGTAGGGTGAGAAAAGTTCCCTGTGAGTGGAAACATGACTTGGGTGACCTTTGCTGAGACAGACTCCTGAGACAGCATTGAGCTGTGCAGAGCCAGCAAGAAGAAAACAAGGGAGTCTGAGCAACAAGTGAAGATATTTTAATGTTCAAAGTGGTACAGTGCAGTTGCTGCAGGTCACATTCCCCTGCAGAGCCCAAGGGCTTGGCCCAGGGGGCTCAGTGATTTGTAGCTGAAGCAGATGGAGCCTACATGCTGCTGCAGCACTGGCAGCAAAGGTGAACATGCCAAACCTCCACAGCACAGCCAAGCACCACTACCAACCCATCCAAACACCCTGGCTAAGCCACAGGCCAGACCTGTGATCCAGCAACACACTGAAACCAGCAATAGGGTGCCCAGTGCCAAGCCAAATGCCACATGTTGCAAAGCTTTGATAAATCAGCTCTGGCTACTCACGCCTGTTTAAAATCCTTGGTGGGTTAGCCTTGTACAAGCGTGCTGGGTGCTGGATAAGGTGCTGCTTGCTCATGCTGCTCTGCCTCTGTGCTGCATCACATCCTCCCAGGAGCCGTGAAAGTACAACATAAATTCAGTGGCTAATCTGACAGCAGTCACCTGCCTGCTCTTGCCCAGCACCTGCACAATTGCAGCACAGGTTTATAAAAGAGCTTAGGGCTTCCTGTGGCTTGATCTGAGAAGCTGGCAAAGGCCAGAGCCTGCTTACCTGCGCACCTGGATGGTGACAAAGAAACCGAGATAAATTGCAACCGCTCTACTCTCCTCAAAGCAGCAGCTGGGGTAACCATCTCAGCTCTTATCAAATCCCATGCTTTGGCCAGTTTCTGTGGAAGAGTGGTGAGTCTTTTGTTACAGCTGCACAGCAGCTCCTCACTCAGCCCCTGACTGAGTGAGCACATTATGGCAGGAGCATATCATGCCTTTCACAGTTGCTCTGCTTCCTCTTGCTGCCCCCAGTACCACAGAGCTGCTCTGGTTTGTGCCTTCTGGGGTGTTTGGTAACCCCAGGTCTAAGCTGGAGGAGAGCTCCTGCTCCACTGCTCAGCCTGAGAAGAGATGTGACATCTCACTACAACCCTTTGAGCACCTCAGCTACCACTAGGCAACAAACCAATGCATAAAGGTTGCTGGTGCAGGTGCAAACTGGCTGTGCTGAGTAGAAAAAACATAAAACCCCAGATTTGTCTGCCCAGGCAATCCAATAGAAGTTCTTGGTCTTCTCTTCCCTGTCTCTTACATGCCTCTATTTCAAACCTCACAAGCACTTAAGTACCCAGGTATTCACCTTCCTCCACCATGTGAAATGCTGATACCCAAAACAGGATATTGATGTGGAAACTACTGGTAATATATGTTCCTGAAATTCTTCTGAGCAACAAGGCCAAGAAAGTCCTGCTTTGGTGACTTCAAAGAGAAGCTCTGCATGAATCCTCTAGCTCCTGAAGTTTTTATTTTATATTTTTGAGTGGAGTGGCTTTCCCTCCCCTAGGCACTTTGTGGCAAGCTATAGTAATATAGAATGGAGTTTCTGTCAGTGTTTGCAATACTCAGGAAGGGACAAATTTCCATCACTTCCCTGCTGAGCTCAAAATAGTGTGACATAAGCAAACCATGATGAACTGATGAAAGTTTGTTCTGATGATGTAATCCTAATAGTGTTAGGTAACACTGAAGGTTGGTAATGCCATGAACACACAGATTTTGCAATCCTCCTGTTTTCTAGATTACTCATGTGCTTTAAGGTAAATGCAGCTGAACCAGTCCTGTAATTTTAATTAAAGTCTCATCTTTGCCCTCTTACTACTAAGCAACAGATTGTCCTGAAAGTTTTAGCTTTACTATATTACTCAGATAACAGATGCAAGAACAGGATGAATATACAGCAGAGTGATAAAATTACTATATGGCCTAGCAAAGTTTACAATTTTCCCTCACACTCCAGCCAGTAGTGGGTTTTCCTGTGATGTGAAGGAAGACAGTAGAGGTGCTTTAGCCCTCTAAAAAGTTAACACCAGTCAGTGCTGTGACTTCTATGGTGTCCCACATTCTTTCTCCCAAATACAAAATCAGCATTTTAGCTATGTAGTCATTAATTTTTTTTTAAATCAACAGTTCAAAGCATCTGACTAAAATTCTCTTCAGCTTTCACTTCCCATTCTTCTGACATCATCCTTTCAGTATCTCTCCAACCATCACAGAATCCAGCCAGAGAAGACTGAACAAATGCAGAAGCAGGCAATTAATTTTCCCAGAATCTCTTCATCTGTTCCAAATAAATTAGACAGTAAAATGCAATGGGAAAGGACATTTTAAATTCACTACGCACCTTCAAGACATGAGTTAAAACTGCAAATGGTTATACTGTATAGCAGAACCAAATGCATGATTGAGGTTACAAACAGATTTTATTGTTTACATTGGCCACTGAGTAACCTAAAGCAGCTGACTGTTTATTTCCCCGAAACAGTTACATCAATACATCATAAAGCACCGGGTATTTTGCAGTTGGCTTTCCTTTTTTTTTTTTTTTAAAAAAAAAAACCAACTGTGTTGCAATACAGTTTTTAGCATGGAAATTTATCAAAAGTATTTACAGTTGGGTGAGAGTTCAAAGGGGCAAGATAGGAATTCAGATTAACTGAAAATCTAAACAAATGTAAAGGAAAACGAGGAGCAGATTCCAAAAACCTTCTACTCTACACTGCAAGCCTAACAAATGGTCTTGATTTGTGTTGGTTGTTAAAGAAGTGTAAATTCCATGATAAATTGATGTAGCTCCTGGGATGAATAAAATCAATAATGTAATAACACTGAGTTAATACCAAGATGACGTTGATTGAGAATGAGTACACAGAATTTGAGGTCTCCTTCCATGCACAAGGATGTATTAGTAAATCAGAACCAGACTGCCAATTAAACCTTGTTATTTTAGGGAAGATGAATAAAATAATGTGTGACGAATAGAGCAGACTGAGGGTAAAGCTAGTCACTTCAAAACTGAGTGTTCAGAAGTCTGTGATTCCTGAATGGGAGCATGCGAAGAAGTTAATAATGCCCTCAGAAAGCTTGCAGAAGCTGATAGTTTGTGTTGCTTTTTTCTGTAGCTGTTTCTACATGGGCAAAGGCAGGGGAGGCAAAAGATCTTTACTCCAGGGAATGGGGCCCCAGTCCACAATGGGCCTCCTCCAGCTCCAAACAGACTTGTTCCCTTTGCATGTCCAGTGTCCCTGATACTTAAATTCTACCCCTGGGTGGAGGGTCAACACCAGGTGAGCATTAGGCCTTTCCAGAGCAACTGAGGGCTCATGGGAGGAATATTCAATTGCTAATATACTAGTTTACACTTCAAATCACAAGTAAGGTTTAGAGAATGATGGGCCATGAGAAAACAAACAGAAAACCCAAAATAAAATTACTGTATGCAACAGATGGAGAAAATGAAGCCTTGATTCTTATGTCTTTTCTCTGTCCCTCTACCCCTTTTCCTCTCTGATATCTGGTAAGACTTCTAAGACTTCTTTCTCAGGAAAAGTGGCATTTTAACTATTAATTCTCCCAATTTCATGGAAATTTAATATAACTTTGATACCAAGGAGGCCTCCATACTTATCTGGAGTTGGGTATTAGGGTAGAAGTCATCCGGAGGGATGAAGAGGCATATGAACATATGCAGGGCACAAACTGTGATCTAGGTTTAAAAAAATTATTCCTTTTATTATGATAAATGGAGTGCATTTGTCTTGAAGATGGGAAGGAGGAATGACTGCAGAAGCTCAGGGTGCTGCTGGGTCTCAGCAATTACCTCTTAGAGTAGATGTGGAGAGACTTCAAGAGCAGCGTGACAGTGGGAGTAACCTGCCCGCAGATAGACAGAAGGAGATTACAGAGCCAGACCTCAGGTTTTTCATTTCTACCCTCCACCCTGAAAAAATGAAAACAGAAGTGTGTTATCCTCTTGTTGTGAGACTTATGTATCAATGGGGTAAATCCTCTGATAAATTATTTAGACATCTGTTCAGACAGATCACAATCTCACCTCCTAAAGAAAATCTCTTCTGGGCAAAGACCGCAATGCTGCTGTGATATGCAATTCCTTTGTTCCTGGGGTTTGCAGCAGCCTTGGACTCTCCATAATGGCTGTGCTGGAATCAGTCCTGAGTACACCGCTGGTGGTAAATAGACTTCTCAGACTGTGTCCTGTGTATTTACAGCCTCCCCAGATGCATTGGACCAGAGGATTTCACAAGATGACCACCTGACCTTGCTTCCACTTGATCCGCTGCAAGTTTGGTCACCAGTTTCAGCAGAAATGGGAGATGAATCCTACGTGTCCCCAGGCTTTCTGTAAGACACCAGTGTTTTCTAAACCTCTGTATATAACTAAAGAGGCTGATAAGTAATGAGGGAGGGAAAATGTCAGACAGAAATGCCCTTGAAATAAACTATTCTAACAATACTATGTTGGGATTAAGATAAGCACACCATCCTCAACTCTGTGTGAATGAACTGGGGCTATTTAGCAGTTCCATAACTCATTCAGCTTTTTTTTTTCTCTGAGTAAAGCATCAAACTCATTCATTATAGTTGGCTTCAGGGCTCTTGGGAACCACCCTCAAAGCTCTCCATCTTCAGCATGGACAGCTAATCTGGACAAATAATTTCAAACAGTTTAAGAAACAGTTTGACCCCCCAACGCAATATAACTAAAGGTTAAAGGGACATCTTGGTGTGTATCTTTAAAGAATATAAATTGAGCTGTTTATTCCTTGTCTCTGGAGCCTGTGCAAGGTTCAAATTCAGTTTATAGGCTTATCACCAAAATTCATTTTATAGAGTACCTTAAACTCCCACTCAGTCCGATCAAAGCTTTTCTGACATAATGTGAATGAGCTACAATGGGTTCCCTTGTTCAGTCAGCCAAGTCAATGTTCTTAATCAGTATAAAAACATCAGGAGTCAAATGGTGTTTTTTATTAAAATGTGTTTGATCAGCTTCCAAGGAGGTGACAGAGGTCTATGGAAAGAAGCATTCCTGCCTGCTCCTAGAAAATGCATGTGAGCCCTGTAAAAGCACTGGGCTCTGAGCGGACCCTGTGGCTTGCTCATGACTGACCTCATTATCCTGGGAGCAGGGCGCACCCTCTCACCCTTCACTCTAATCCTCCTCCAGCCTGACCTCTTTTGAGTTGCCTACTCCTGAAAACCCATTTATCTCAGCTCCTTCCACTGGATAATAATCAAGCCCCTGGGCTTTGCCAGGGATCAAAGAATGATTGCTCCAGTTGTCTCAAAATCTATTGCTTCTTTAGATGCTCTTGCTGCTTATTCAAACAAAGCAACATTATGCTGAAAGTCCACAGCAGCTGTGGATTAGAGACAGGGCAATGTTTAGGAAGTGATATGTGGGGCACAGCATCCATCTGACTTTCTGGGCACTCACTCAGTTGCTCAAGAGAGAGCGGATGTACCCCCAAGCACCACAGAGACATGGCTGACCCCAAGAGCTGCTTGTTGGCGGCACTCCCACAAGTCTCTTCCAAGCACAGGCCCATAAGTGACAGCCTCTGTCGTCATGCCACATACACCCAGACATCTGTCTAGAAGCCAAGATCCTCTTTTGAACTTAGTGAACATAAAGTTGTTTCTTCCAGCAGTAGGGAAGGAGCTTCCTGAAGCCCACACCCCTACAAAGCACAGACAGGGAGAAATGCCACATCCTGGGCTGTCTGGTCCAGAGCACTGATCATCATGAGTACACTGGGAAATCAGTTGTGTTGCCCAAGGCTTCGCTGTGACTTGGGGCTGTCAAACAGCTGGATCTCCCTACATTACAAAATGGAAGAATCAGGACAATACTGTCTTGCTATTAGGTCCCTGATGGGATCACAACTTTCCTAATGTTTCTCTGCTACAAATGATCTTATTTCAAAAATCTCCATGCACTGATTGCCAGAAACCATTTACTACCAAAAATAGCTCAAACATGGACCTCTGAATGGCTGAAATAGAGATGATCAAGACAAACTCATGACAGCAAGGCTGTTATGAAATAGAATTATTCACTGGATGGCTCTAGACTTCAAATATTTAGGGCCAGAAAATTAATGCTAACTAAATTCTGATCCATGCAATTAAGCAACAGCAACAAGGCAGCAGAGCCATTTTAGATCCAAGTGCTGGTAAAAAGAAAATGACCTATGTAATGGAGATGCTCTTCTGCATTCATGACGTCCTTTCCTCCCTCCAAAAGCCTGTCAAGAGAAGTTGGCAATAAGACAAAAATAACTGAGATGCTTGAGGAGATAGCACATCAACAAGACCTATTCACATGTAAGTCATCAACAAACATTTCAGCTGGGAAAACTAACCAAATTTAGTGGTGAAGCTTTTTTTGGCCTTGGAACTATGCTTGAAACTAATCATTTGCAGTCATAAGCCCAGTTGGACACGTCACTGCCTAAAGAAGTTTAATCAGTGAAGACATAATCTCTGTTTAGGATTATTTGGACAGATTTTTTTCTCTCCTAGGAGCCATTGGGAGGCAGGAAGGATGTGTCTACACACTGATTGGTGCAGGGATCTGACTGATAGGAAGGAACCTCCAAGCCAGGAGGTGGGAGTGGAGAGTGAAAAGGCATTTAACAGAAAATTTTCATTTTAATTTATTTACATTTTGATAGCTTATGCATATGCAGAGATTTGGTCATTTTAAAGAACTTCAAATAAAGGACAGGAAAAGCAGCTGATCCATTTTATGGTCTCTTATGGATATTCTTCTCTGTGGTGACCAGTGACAGGACCTGAGGGAATGGCCTGTGGAAGTTGCGTCAGGGGAGGTTTAGGTTGCATATTAGGGAAAGGTTCTTTACCCAGAGGGTAGTTGGGCACTGGAACAGGCTTCCTGGGGAAGTAATCACAGCTCCAGGTATGATGGAGTTCGGGAAGCATTTTGACAACAGTCTCAGGTACATGGTGTGATTTTGTGTTGATCCTGTGCAGAGACAGAAATTGGATTTCAATGATCCTTGTAGGTCCCTCCCTAATCAGGATATTCCATTTGATGGTCTTTGTGGGTCCCTTTCTCATTCAGAATAGTCTATGATTCTATCATTACCAATTCAGGCAGTAGAAAAACTTGCATAAACCCTGAACAACTGAGTTCTATTCCATTCACAAAGTAAAAGCATGAAGAAGAGGGCAATTGAAGTTGTCCATGATTCCACACTTCTGAAAATATAAATAGTTCCAAGGATTCCTAAACACAGACTCATGATAAAAATTTTACACCCATTTGTTAAATTTTTTATCTGATGCCCTAGCAACATCCTGTGAGTAATTCCTATCTTCAGGAACTACATGGATCTTATATTTTTGTCCTGATTTAATTATTTTTTTCATAAATGGAGCAAAGTCACAGTTTTGTTGATTTTTTTTTTCCCATAGCAGACTGGGTAGGATTTGAGGAGATGAACATGGGAGTGCAAAAGTCTTAAGAAACTTTCCCCAGGCTTCTGGCTACCTGTTGATAGTCCATCCTCTCTCCAGTTGTGTCACACAATGTCTATAAAGTACACTAACATGGTGTAAGCACACTGTTTCAATGCTGCAGTCAGTGCTTTCTCTTACACAAAATACTCAATCTAAAGGAGAATGTAAGCAAATTAGTTAAAGAAATATAAATGAAGCATTGTTTTCTCTCCTTTTTGCCTTGTTAGGTGCCCCCCAAGGTTACCATCCTCCTTGGGCATCCTTCTTTCTTACCACTACACCATGACAGGTAATTCAGATTTTCCCTCTGCAACCCTGACCACCTTACCCACATCAGCAGCCTCACAGCCCTGACCAGGTGTTATCACCCACTCACAGAGCCCAAAGCCATCTTGGTGCTACTGTCCAGCTTCTTCCTGTTTACTAATAGAGGTATGTTTGTGCTCAATTATAACTGCCATGCTACTGAATCACAGAAAGATACAGGACAGCAGTTGAGTGTGGAGATTTCTAGGAATAATACATCTTTCTTGTACTGCTGAACTCTCTTTCTGAAATGCTTGTAGATTAGTGATTTGAAGAACCCATTTTTTATTGTATTCACCAAGCTAGATGCGTGCTGATTCTGGGTAATGAGATCTCCTCATTCAAATTCCTAAAAGTTAAAATAAACTACATGTTCTTGCAGTTCTTTGTAATATAATCAGTTACATATGTAAAATATTGTTCACCTGTATTTTTTACCTGTAGTAGTATGCAGTGATGGAAGATGGTTATTCAGAGTAGCTGCTGCATTCTCATTGAAGAAGGCAGCTGACAACCTGATTCAGTTCACATCAAGCATGCCAATAAGACTTAAAGATGATCATTGTTGACTCACTGTTAACTCTTAGTCATGATATTTACTGTGCTCTCTGTGAGATAATGACAGGTTTGAACCTACACATTTGATAATAATATGGGGTTTGTCATGTATTTCAGAAGTAACAGGATGAGGAGGGTATCATTCTTTGTTCATTATTGTTTCAGCTGAGAGGAATCATGTAGGGCATTGACTGGAACAGTTCAGCGTAAAGCCTTCACCCTTCCCAACTCATGCTGGTGACTAGTTTTTGAAGCAATTAACTAGTGACCTTGATATTATAGGATGACAAGAAATATCCATGCTGCATGTAAAAAAATCTTTGTTTTACTACAGCATTTCTTGCATCTCCTCTGGCAAGCAGTGTTTGTTGTCTTAAGCAGGATATCAGATTTAATCAGCTTCCCCTTGCACAGCAACCTCCATATTCCCATAAACATGGAAAGTGCATTTCAGCTTCTCCCTACCAGACTGGATAGTGTCTGTGTGAATGCTCACCAGACTGTTCCCCCCCTTGAAGCCGCCACAAAACTAATCCCATGCTTCCCATACTTGCAGCACAGTGCTATAGCTTGTCTCCTTATCCATGATCCCAGGCTTCCAGCAGAGTTGACTGGGTCTTCAACTGGCAAAGTGAGTGGTCTGGAAAAGCAGAGTGGTGGAAATGTAAAAAGAAGTCAAGGAGGTGTAGGAGTTGCCTTATCCACCATGGAAACAGCTGCAGGATGGCTGTTTATCCATGCTCTGTCATCCGCGAGGCTCAGTGTGGTGTCCCTCCCATCCTGCATGAAAAATGAGTTCTCTAATGCATCAGAGCCAAAGAAACTTTGTGTGCCTGTATTTAACATGAACAAAAAGTGACAGTGTCACTTTTGATTGCAGGCTGAAACACAGCTGTTTTCACTAAAGCCTAAATAATTATGTAAGGAGTAAGAGTCACAAGACCTCTGATGAAAAAAGGAAACGGAGGCATAGTCTGAGAATATAAGGCTCATATCCTAAGAACAGGATGGGGTTGTGTTCATGCAGGTAGGTAGGTAGTGAAAAATGTGATTCAGATGTTTTTATGAGACAGACCCATATAACCACAAACTGGGTAAAGCCACCAGATTTCTGCGTGGTTTCATTGTGCTTTAGGGAATTGTCACACCCCTGATGTTGTACTGTAGAGGAAGAAGGTGTCTTCCCCCCTGGGGGAAGTCCAGACTGTCATGCAACAGCACCCATATTTTCCCAACCAAAAGCTTCACCAGCCACTTTGCCAGGAATGGGAGAGCCACACCCTATCTGCAGAAAATAGAGGGTATTGCAACAAACATCCCTTAAAAAAATGCACAGCTCATAATGGCTGCAGGCCGCAGCAGGCCAGTTTCTATCCTTCAATTAGTGATCTTCCAAATGACTCACCAGTGAGCATTGCATCAAAGACCTGCAATCTGCAAGGGCCATATCTAAGTATTCATTGACAGGACTGGTAGCGCCACTTTTTTTGAAGGTTGCTCAACTTCTCTTTATAAGGTCCCATTTCTGTTTCCTTACATCTCTGCCAACCCTTTATCAGTTCCAGCTCACATGTTTCAAGCTTAGTGCCTGCCAACAGCTTGTTGTCTGCTAGTTGGGTTTGATTTGGTTTGGTTGAGTTTGGGGCAGATATCTTATTTTCTGTTTAATCAGTTTGGCTGTTTCCAAGAGAGGTTTGTCAAAAACAAAGAAACAAAGACAGAAACAAACAAAAACAACAGAAAAAAAAATGTTGTGGATTTCTTCCTATAATTGCTCCTTGTGGCAGAGAACTGAAATTTGTCAGGCAGATGGTCCTCAGGTCATGAATCTGCCAGGAAAACCCATGCTAATGACATTTCAGCTAATCAGATTGCAAATGTCATGTTGCAGCCCACGCAGTAGGTGAAGCTTGGTCTTTCTAAACAGGTACTGACTGTGCCACACCGTGACAACATCATCAGGAGCAGCATTTGACCATCTCAAGAAGGTACTTGAGAAGGCACTAAACTTAACAGAGCATAAGTATCAGGTATGGGGAAGGAGGCTTGCAGGGAAGAGCCTACCTTCAGTGTGCAGTTGCAGTCACTGAGCGTTCCAATCATTCCCTGAAAAGGTAAAAACTACTTGGACCAAATCAAGAGAAAAACCTTTGAGTGAGCCTGTTGTTGCTATTTGCTTCTGTCATCAGTTTTCTTTAAGTACAGAAAAATGAGTCCTGCCAGTTTGTACAAACTAACTTAGAAAAGGCTCTAAGTAATTTCTGGAGGTTAAATACATTATGGATGCTCCAGATAAATATGTGGGAATGATAGGCATGTGGCTGTTACTTGGGCTTGGGAGACTGTTAAACCAGAGAGCCACAATCAATCAAATAATCAATCAGTCAATAAATCAATTAGCATTGATTAATTAAAGGGAAGAAGAATGACAGCAAAGATACCGTAATCCTGTTTTCTGAACAATAAAACTGAGCATGTGTAAGCTCCAGTCATTACTGAGCCATGGGCACTGCAGTATAAGCTGTCTGGAGTGGGATCAGTGTGTGGTAGGAATAGCCAGGGGGAAGAGAAGCTGTACCTTGGAGGAGGAAGATACACAGAAGTATGGATGATAGAAGTTAGAGGCTAAAGCAAGGGAAAGGGAGTAAAGCAAGAGAGATATGCTTGGCGGGGGAGTCCAAGTGTACAGGGGGATCCTATACACTTCCCACTCTCCTCCTTCAAGGACAGACACAGGGCTAGAGAAGCTTTTTCCTACTTCCTGGGCCTATTCCACTTGCTGGAGGGCATAATACTTCCAGACTGCAGTGGGGAAAAGCATGGGTCCTTGTTGGGGTACAGGCTGGCTCCCACAGCTGCACAAGAGTGCAATGAGATGTAGCTGTAGGTATTTGCAGCACCAGAGGGCACCAGACAGCAAGGAGCAGGTGTTACCTGGGTCCTCGGGGCTACAGAGTTAAAGGGGTAGGAACAGGGGGCTGAGTTGGAGAAGTAGACAGGAGGGGCCATACATCATGAGTGTATGATGTCAGAGTGGCGATTTCAAAAAGCTTATGTACTTTTTTCATTTGCTGTACATGACTGACTTGGAGTAAATCCCAAAATACATGGCTTCTGGGATTTCTCTCTTTGCTCTGTCAAATCAAGAAAATAAGACTACAACATAAATTCAACCTACTCCCTCTACTAACTCTACCTCACTGAACTGGACATGTCCATACCATTCATACCCCAAACATGGCTTTGCAAAACACTTTAGAGAAGAGGGAACCACTAGAGTTTTTTAACTTTGCAAATGTGCTGTTGCGCACAATGAAACTTGTGCTGTTGGTCTGTATGGTCAGCACTCATTTACACCCCTAGAAGCAATGAGACACAGGGTAAACCTTTCAGCCATTGCACCACCAATTGCAGCCCCCTCAGCCTTATGCCAAAGTCACCACCTCTACTCCCCTGGAATCTTGCCACTGAAATAATTTGTCTCAGCTGATTTCCTGCCCTCTGTTAACCACCCTAGTGGCAAGAAGGCCCTAAGGCATTCCCTGTGACACAAATCTCTGAACTAGTATGATCATTTGAACCCTGGAAAAATCAGGCTTCCTTTTTATCTCTGTGTCCTTGTGCGCTGAAATTAGATTTCCTTAGATGTAGGGTAATTAATTTGAGTCCTCTCCTCAAAAAGAGCACATCAGGCTACACACTTTAGTCTTCAGCTGCAAACTGAGACAAGCATTACAACCTTCCTACACAGCTCGCTCAAGACCCAGTCTCAGCGCTCTAATGGACTGTTGAAGAGAAGCAGCTGTGGCCAAAGCAGACTCCCAGCCTGGGAAATACTTGAAGGAAGAGAAAATACCCTACCTGGCATGATGATTTATGAATGTGTTCAGAGTAAGACTTTCAATTGTTCCCCAGCTACATAGATATCTTCCTCTTTCTACCCTACAAATTACATCCTTTAAATCTCCCATTTAAGTTCTTTCCCACTAAACATTTTAGTCAGGTTAAACGGGGTTTTATCCTTGGGTTTTGTCACAGTAACTGCTCAGAGCAATGGTGGCCTCTTTGGCAAAGGTCACTGCAGGGCCTTTCAGCTAAATTAGCTGCTTCAGGTCTGACAGCCTCTCATGTAAACTCACTTTCCTACTGCTCAGCTTGAGTTTCACAGAAAGCTGGCACACTATGAGTGAAAGGATGTGATCTACCAATCACACCAGACATTAGAAACACGTTGTTCTGGAAAGAAAACTAAAAAAAATATGAGGATGTGTATGAATAGAAAAAAGTATTCAGAAAACCTTGATGTGTCATCTTAATCGTCTTCCTATTCATGAATGTACTTGAAAACTCTTACAAGGTTATGATAAGGAGTTGTTCACCAGCGTTACAAGAAGACAAAGCGTTCTGTTTTTTTCCAAGCAGCAAGTTACGACATGAAAGCGAACGTGGTGTGCAGAACACTTTTCACCTCCACGTTCCCATCCAGAACTGTATTTTCCCTTGATAAATGATGAACTACGTCCTACAGCTGTGCTACATATTTCAGACTAACAAGGGCAGAAGTAGAGGTCACACCAATTCTAGAGTACTGTCTATTGAGACAAAGGGACTCAGGCTTGTGTCACGTGCTCTGTGTTTCATGCAGCATAGATTTACACTATTTCCCAATTTAGACTGTTTCCCAAATCCCTTGTTTTCCTGGGGACATGGCAACAGTTTATGTACACTGAGGTTAGACACATGGCCAGCTTATGCATTTTTCCCTTCCTCTAGCAAACATTATCTTGTTCCTTTAAACCCAGCTTAACCTTACTTTGGTTCCCATTTCTTCAGGGCACGTACACCAACAAGAGAAGTGAAAGCAGCTATTTCTGTTTCTTTTGACTGCTCTGAACAGTTCCTGAATGTTTGAAAGTGAGTAAGAGTCAAGACAGCTCCAAAGAGGAGAGTGACTCTAGTTCCAAAAGGGATCCTTGAACTAAACCTCTGGTGCAAAATTTCTTGTCCTCGTCTAGTAACAGGAGTTTGATCTGCTGCCAGCAACGTGTGGTCAGACTGTGCAAGAACTAAACAGTAAACTTGGGATTCATATCACTGAACACCTGCTGTCTAAAAAAATTCAGATGGTCATCTAGGCCTCCTCAGCACACAGACAGACAGACAAAGAGAGCTCATCACATCCCTTTTACACCTACTTTGGGCTGGTACAAACTGTTCCTGGAAGGCGTCTCTTTGTCTCCATAGCATGTGAAGACTGGTATGAGCTAGATGCTGAGCTATCAGGCTGGGGTTAGGTGAGGGGCACTGAAATAATCTTAACAGGTATGTTTATCTGCGTCTTTTGTCCATGTGGACATTTATATCTTGGATGTCCTGATGCTGTCAATTCCAAGGCATTCAGAGGACTGATAGTGATGTCTCTAGTGATTTCATGTCTCTGTTGCTTTCTGGCTGCTTTTGTTTTCAGGAAGTTACTTCCTGTCAACCATGAACACAATTCTAGAATTACACAGATGATGGAGGAAAAAAAAGGGAGGTTACCTCTCCCCCACTCTTAATGGCATCTGAAAAATGTCCAAAAGCTGCTCTTAAATGAGTAGCTCTTTGAGCAATGTAACTGGTGACTCCTGATTTCCTATGGATTCCTGTTTACAGTTAAATTCTCTGGTGCTTAATAATGTACAAATGCCAATTACAGCTTCTCTGGCACTTGGAGAGATCATAATGATCCACTCCCACGTAAAGTGTCTGGTGTCAGATCTGAGTTCTTCCTGGGCCTTTCCTCCAGTGAAGGCATATACATGATATGTCTCTTTTAGAGAGACATGTGTTTTCCTGATTGGAATTGAATATGATTTCAAAGGCCTGAGTGGAATGACAGCAAAACATAGCCAGTCTTCCAGCAAGCAGCAAGGCTCTTGAAAACTCAAAGAGAATCCATTTATACTATAATGAAGTAAACTGAGAATGGAAATACTTTTCCCTCTGTAGAACTTTCAATGAAAACTTTTCTTCACCTCTGCCTCTTTTTCCTGTTACATCACACCTCTGAAGGCACAGACCTGGCAGATGGCAAAAAAAAGAGTATTTGCCATTGCTATTATTTAGATATAGAGCACCTTAATGTATGCTAGTAAGTGCTGAGTTGGGTGGAGGAGCTTCCTGATGGAAAATTGTACCTCCCTTTGGGAAGAAAAAAAATAAAAAGAAAGAAAAGAGGAGGTACTTGGAAAGATAAAGGGCAATTCAGTCCTTTGAATGCTCATATCATAAAACTGAATATGAAATAATTACCATAAATGAGGCAACTAGTTCCTACACCCTCTGCAACCTGGATGGCATCCTTCTGTGTCATCAAAATAAAAGTTACTTGCAGAAAAGAATATCTTATCTCAGTTACCCAAGCTCACACACACAAAAGAAGAAAACCAAAGACTTCTAAATTAGTTCTTTCTACAAAGAAATGGTTTAACTCTGCAAGGATGTTAAGCCTATTTTTTCTCCAAAATTACTGGCACTAGGATAGGCATGATTTTATCCCTAAACAGGGTGTTCCTTAGGCTCTTTGCCAATTTAATTGGCTTATTCATATCCTTCCCTTCCAGATTACCTCAGGGTGATTTACATGTTGGAGGCCTATAAACACTGATGAATCAGTACATGAAAACCAAAAACATTGTTCAGAGTCTGACAGGGTCCTCACTGGTTTTTGCCCCCAAATTAATTGTTCTCACTGGAACAACCTAATATGTCATCAACCTCTGACATCACTCTAATGCTATACAGAAAAAAGAGTTGCTGAAATACAATGGCATGCACTAATTTGTTTTTTACCAGTGTTTCCAGGTACTCTGTAGGAGCAAGCAACAGGTGAGGTTTTCAGGTGGGAAGATACAGATGTTCCCAGTCTGGCTTCTTCAGCTGACTGGCCATTTAGAAGATTCTCCTTCTGATTTTGTGTCAATAAATCACTGTGACTGAGCTCTAAAAAATGAAAATACAAAGACAATTTAATTTTCTCTCTCTGAGAAATATAACTTTCATTGTAGTACAACATCTATACTAATATGGTTTTACTTAGAAAAAGCTGGTGGACTTCCAGTGAATTCAAAACAATTTCCTTCACATGTTAAACGTGAACTGCCCTTCTCAGAAATATTTTGCAGGCCAATTAAGGACAACTTTATCTCCACCAAATACAGAAACAAGCAAAGATTTATAATCATGAATAAAGAAAGAGCTGAAAGAGGTTCATTTGCATTTTTGCTGATTAAAGTCTCAGACTTGTATGTATCTCCTTTTTGTGATATGAACACTTTCATAGAATCATAGAATGGTTTGTGTCAGAAGTCACCATAAAGTTCCAACTCCATTAGACCCCATCCAACCTGGCCTTGATAAAATGGTTTTGATAAAATGCACTAGAAAGCTTTACAGAACACACTTCTCTGCAAATTTGGTAACAATTTAATATATTTTGCCTCAGTATTCTCACAAAATGTAGTTATTCCATCATCCTCTAGGGAATTACTATATTCCCTATTCAAACACATTACATTTCCTCTTTACATTATATGTTCCTGCAGTGTCTTTCCTAAGCAAGCTCCCTGCTTCTAAACCAAAGCTATTACTGGCTATACAGCCACTCATGGAAATACAGCACCCTTCCAATAAATTCCTATTTTGCTTTCCAAAAAAATCTCCATGCTTAACACCAATCTCCCTAAGATCATCAAGCAGCACTTTTTAATCCATTTCACAACAAGATTTCCATAATGTCTTTAAAAGCTACAGATTGCTTCATAAGGCAGTCCTCACCATTCTGGTACTTGTTTTCACAAGGACTTTGGCATATCAGCTGCTAATAAACTCAGTACTCTTAATAATAGAGTCCATGCACTTAAATACCTGCCAGAGGATGAACACTTCTCTACCATTACAGCTGAAATATTTCAAAGTCCAGGACTTTTAAAATTGTGCAAATGCCTTAAAACCAGTTTCCCTGTTTGTACTGGCAATTGTGGTTACAGGTGTCATGCACTTATTAGCTCTGCTTAGATATTAAAACTTGCACATAAATTCACTCATATTTGCATTCACTGACTGTGTTTATCTACAAAAAATCTGCAATACATTTGTCATGGCCAAGTTGACTCTATACAACATGTTCATACAGAGGTTCCAAGCAACATCACAGAATTATTACAGACCATATATGTAAATGCAAGTGAGCCACTGCATGAAGTTTTTAATATGCAATACAGGAAAGCAAACGTATAATGAAATGGTGGGAAGAATGAGGGATGACTCCCTAGAATTAAAGCATGTACATATATATATATACACATAATTTTTATAAACAGCTGGAATGTTTAATTCCTAGTGAATACTTTAAAAATACAAACCAGTAAATAGAATTCAGATCTCACAAGAAGTCCATTTCAGGACTTGATCATTTAGAGTAATAGAGAAGCATTGCCTGAGTGAAATAAATGGAGCACACACTCCAGAATCACTGCAGGAAAGTGGAGAGCTGGCAGCCCTTTGAATTCCTCCTCTTTGATCCACAATGAAAAAGGATAATGAGGGTGTGCGTACTCGCCCTTGTCTAGTTTTCACTTTCTTCAAGAAAAGGAGCTATGCTGATTCAGAGCTTTAGCTGTGGCCCAGAAGAATTTTGTCCTTATATTCCCCATACATTAAAACTACTTTTAAAAAGTTCTCAAGATTTTCTCTCTTTCCTTAATTCAATCAATTCTAATAACAGATGCTTCTTTGTTGCTTGTCACCAAAGTATTTTAAGCACTTTGAATCCTGTCTCATTTTAGACTTGTTTCTAAAGGAGTCAGATCTGGCCCTCAGCTCTTTGTTTTTCTTTCAACACCTTATTGAACGAGTTGTGCTCCTCTGTGTTCACTTCAAGGACACCACGTTTTCTTTTGTCATGATAACTTTCACACTGGAATGCCTCAAACAATCAAGTGCAAAAATAAAACTATATTTTCCATTTATTATTTTTAATAGCATCCCCTATGGCTGTGAGTTTCAGATAGCCACTCCAAAGAACATGCTGGGGGTCACAATGCAGAAAATGGGGCTAAACCCTCACAAATTGTAGCTCAGATAAGAAAAGCAGTGCCTTTTATTCAGGAATGTTCAGATTTTTACTCTCTATTTACACTTTATGTTGGAATAGGGATGGACAGCTGCAGTACATCTGGACTGCTCATCCACAGTGGGTTCTCTTTCCTATAACATTAAATGTGAGCATGGGTATTGTATAGAAAACCTGCTCCTGCTTCCACCCGAGTCAACAGGAAAACTAAACTGACTAGGAGTCAGAGCTTTCCTTTCTTTACTTTTATTTAAATGTCAGTGTTTTATGTGGTTGTTTATTAAATAATAATAACACAATAATGCCCAGAGGCTCCAATTAAGACTGGGAAGTCGCTGCAGTGGGATTGTGCAAAGGCAGAGGAAGGGACGGGAATTGGATGGTCCCCAGCGGCAGGGAGCAGGGGCTGGGAGCCGGCTCCTCTCAGCAGCAGCAAAGCCTTTTGTTTGTGTGGGAGTTGGATGTTACTTTGGTTTTGGGGTTTTATTCGTTTGGGGTTTTTTTTTTTCAATGTCAAGACAGAGTAACCAGGAAGACATGCAAAGAGATTTTCTTCAAAGCAGCTGAGGGAAAGAGAAGAATGTATGTAGCTGTATATGCTAATTCTTATTAATTAAAACCAGAATGCTGTGTTGGAGCTGTGCACAGGCTTTATTAGCTAATATTAAAACAAAGAGTTGATCGGCTTCCACAGAAATTTTGCCTTGGCAGAGCTCTGTTTGCTGCAGTGGAGCTACTCCTTGCTTCAAACCAGTGTGAGCACAGGATCAGGCCAGGAGCCCTCAGGAAGGAATGAAAAGCCGGTAACAAAACAAAAGGACAAACAGGAGGCACACGGGGAGGACAATCCTAAGGAGCGGGATAAGAACAAGCATGTTGCTCTTGGCAGAAAGCAACTGGCAAAAATTAATTGTGTAGTCAGTCTCTTGCTCGGTTCTTTTTGTTTTGTTATGAAACAGGATTTGTTTTTATTATAGAGGAACGGGATATATTGCAGGAGAAAAATCTGAGCTGGATAGGGCTTATAGCAAAAGTACATTTTATGGGGAGATTTGAATGAAGGCAGTGTGGACTTGGTTCACAAGACGGATGCAGTTGTTCCAGGCTTAAAGAAAAAAGGGCAGCATGAGTGAAAGTCCTCTGAGGAGAGCCAGAGGAGGGAATGGAGAAGGGAAGGACTGAACCAGAATGTGTGGGATAGGAGGGCAGTGAAAACTTTGTCTCCTGAAATGGTGACCAGAGAGACGCTGAACTGTGGGCGTGAAGTAAAAACTAAAGATTCCCTGGGAGAGAGTTCTAGAAAGCTGATAATTTATGAGCATCTTCAGGCTAGAGGTGACCTAAGTCTGGGGAAGAATTTTGGAAACAAGGTCTGAGGTGGGGAAACAGGTTGTTGGAAATGCTTCACAGAAGAACAACCATGACCTAAAACCAACTTTTATGCAAGAGAGAAAAAGGAGCAGATCAGCTTGAAGGATAACAGAATTAGCAGTGGTGGTAGAGAAGAAGGACAAGGAGTGGGTTTGACAGCAGAGGATGGGTGCTGTCTTTTGTTTTATGAATGGAAAAGGTATGCTAAATGAGAAGTACTGTAGAGAATTGGCAGAGGGGAACAGAGGGGGAGAAGTAAGTTAAGCTATAGGTGTGTATAGATGGTAGAGCATACATACATAGCACCTTGCTTGGGAGACCAAGGAGCACCCTATAGGTCAGCTGCTGCAGGAGGGAAAAAGTTTTTGAGAATAAAATATAGCCAGGAGCTATCTGAAAAGAACAGAAGGATGGATAAGACTGGTCAGATAGTGACAGAGGAGTCAAACACTTAGTAAATGATCTGGAAAAAAATAGAAGTTTTAACTCAAGTACCCAGTTCTTTATTGTTCTATGCAGAAAATTGAGCTTAATAAAAAAAAATTTCCAGCTGGCTTCCACGCAAAATGTGCAGAGGCAACACGGGAAAGTACCAGCCCATTTCTTACGTGTTGTAAGTGAACAGAATGATCAGTGTCTCAAACCTCCTAGTCCTGAGGACATCAATAGGAGATAGTTAATAGATAGCTCAGTTGTCACTCTGTGCTGTGCTGGCTTGCTCACTAGCATACCAGCACGGAAGAAAAACTGACCTTTACCATATCTCAGTGCAACACAGCTGTGTAAGCTCACGGAGGATCCAGGCTCCAGTCCACTGAAAAGGTAGAGAGATGTTCAGAGCTCAGCATATTGGACTTCAACAGCTCTTAATTTACATGTTCAGTATTACTCACATTAATACCTGGCCTGTAATTTTTTTCACCATTCCAGCTCAATATATTTTTAGTTGACTCAATTCTACTCTCCAACTAATATGCAATACCATGCTGCTCTTTTACCCTTAGAATCAATTATGAGAAGTTCTCTTACAAAGATGTAAGAGGATGTTTTGGAAAAAAAGTCTTTTCATAAGAAGTACAATCTTCCTTTCTGCTAAAGCACTGTGCCAGGTTTTTTTAAGATCAATAGCAATGCAGAGTTTAACATGATGCAGTGCTCATCCAAAATCCAAGCAGAGAAAATTATATGTGAAGTTTAAAAATATGAATTCTTAACAATAGTAAAAGGGAGGAAGAAAACTGATAGGCACAATGTAAACGTTTGTGTATAAAAATGACTGACATTGGGGGGTAAGGGTATTCAGGACATAGTGATGTAAGGCAATCTTTCTTTAGGTTGCAAGTAGCATTTCTAGTACCTCATGACACTGCCCTCCTTGTACACCATTACTTTTTTTGGTGATCTTATACAAGGTTGTGACTAACAACAGATAGAAAAGAGTACTGATCCATGTACTAGATCCATGTACTAGTTGATGCTTTTCTGAAATCATTGGGGTAATTGCAATAGTCAGAGCTGCAAAATTTTACTCAGCGCTTCCTAGTTATTCTATATCCAGGTCTGTTAGCACAATTCATGCATATACACCAGTGAGTTTAGTCATTTTCTTTTTATAGCTTCAATATATTATTCTGAATATAGGTGAACTGACTCAAATGGGTTATTCCTCCTTCACAGCCTTTTAAGTTGTCACATTTTAACTCCAGCCAGCAACTAAGCACCACACAGTCACTCCTCTGGTGGGATAGGGGAGAGAATTGGAAAGGTAAAAGTGAGTAACTCATAAGAGTTTTCTGAGATAAAGACACTTTAGTAGGGAAAGCAAAAGCAGCACACGCAAGCAATGCAAAACAAGGAAGTCATTCACTGCTTTCCGTGGGCAGGCAGGTGTTCAGCCATCCCCAGGAAAGCAGGGCCCCATCACACCCAACAGTGACTTGGGAAGGCAAATAGCACAACTATGAATTTCCACACCCATCCCCCCACCCCCACTTCTTCCTCCCTAGCTTTTTATCATGCTGAGCATGATGCCATATGATGTAGATTGCCCCTTTCATCAGCTGGGGTCAGCTGTCCTGGCTGTGTCCCCTCCCAGCTTCCCAAGTACCCCCAGAATCCTCATTGGTGTGATAAGAAGCAGAAAAGACCTTGATGCTATGCAAGCACTGCCCAGCAAAAATGAAAATATCCCTGTACTATCAACACTGTTTTGGTCACAAATCCAAAACCCATCCCCACATCAGCTACTGAAAAGAAAATCAACTCCATCCCAGCCAAAAACCACACACTAGTAGAATGTTTAATTCCACTGTGACTCCATTGTTGTCATTTTGTATAACAAAACTTCCTGGGTTATTCTTAATAGTCTCATGTCACTGAAAACATCAATACTGTAGAATCCCTTATTGTAAAAATACAAAGCCTTACCTAAAGCCCACCACAACCAAAGACTGAGGTTTATTTTCACCCATACTGGCGCTACTGGAAGAGTGTTCTGGAAACTCATTCCTCTAACACTTACAAATCTTACTCTTATTTCCAGTCTGGGTGAGGTAACTGACAGTTCCTCTATCAACTTCATCACTAGTCTTCATCACTAAAATAGATCTCCTGAACTTATTTTTAACTTGTGCTTTTAGGGAAAAATCACAGAATTCAACCATTAGTAGGGGCAATAACATTTAAATAACAATACTTTAATTTCCTGGGGGGAATTTTTCTCTTTTATATTATTCTAATCAGCTCAGCTACCTTTTCCTATACAGATTTTGATTTTAATCAATATATTCTTAATAAGTGGAAGTATATATAGTATTTTAGAAGAAATAGGTGTTTTGAATGTCTTTTATATTGGGAAATACACTTCTGTACTTCTGCTGGCAGTTCCTTAGTAGCTCAGGCCTAAGAAACAGAAATTTGTCCTATTGAAAGTCAGTGCAGGTTCAGGTTGCAATTTTTGGTATGGTTTATCAGCATAAGTCAGCATCTAAAGAAGTAGAGCTGACCTTCACAGACCTCTGCCTTTCATTCCTATTCCTGTGTATCCTTTACCTTTGGCCAGCACCATCTACTTTCCTATGTAGGAAAGCAGACTGAGAAATTTATTCCGGTTTTCTTTCAGCTGTTTTTTCAACCTTACAATTCCTGTACTAACCTAAATTTTTTCAACTTCACTAATCTCTTCTCACATGGCACCATACAAACACTTCACTGACATCACAGCAGATAACCACCACTGCATTTTGTCCACAAAATCTGCAATCACAGTGTGTGCCTAATACATAAGTAAGAAACCTTTGGTACCCATCTCCAAATTCAAGTGACATGACACCACTTAGAGTGAATTTTGCTCATTTGTTGTGAAATGAACAAACCCTAGAAACTGTTCAACTAATCCATGGTCCTATGCTGGCAAACACGCCTGGTTAATGAGAAGTGGGAAGAATATGGTTAGATGGTGTAGGAGAAAAAATAGGGACTATGATGTGGATCCTGCATCAAATGAATAGGATGTCTCAAAGAAAAGGAAGCAAAGTCGAGATGGTATACAAAGAGAATGAGAGAAAGACCCAAAAAAACCCCCAAACCCCACCCCTCAAAAACCAAAACCATAACAAAAACCCCCAAACCAAACAAAAAAATCCCAGCAACAAAAAATCTAATCCAAGCCAAAACAACCTCAATCAGGGCTGTATAGAGGTCAAAATATTGTCTTGAGTCACGACTTGCCTTTTTAACAGGTGTCATGCTTTAAGTACATATTCAATAAAATCTAGCACAATGCCAGTTATGAATAAGCTCTCCCACTACCAGTATTAATAAAATTTGTGGGTACTATTTATTTTAAAAAGATGCTTGTAATATATAATTTTAAAGGCACCCCATGTAGCACATAATGGGGCACTACAAATTGGTTATATAATAAGTAAGTAGAAGAAAGAACAATATAAACAGTGGTTTGCAGCCTTGACCCTATGGTGTTTCCTGCCACAATGAAAGTAAAAACACATGTTCCCTGACAACCATGAAGCACTTTGTCACTGCTGTTGGACATTTTGCTGCCTTAGGGCTTGTCTACATGCAAAACTACATTGGTTTGGCTGGGTTTAATTTGCTGCAATGGGCTGTGTGAATTCTTATTTTGACCTAAATCAGACTTGCTTCAGTTTAGCTCAACAAATTAAAGGTCAGATAAAAGCCAAGTAACTCTGTTGATTAGGACAATCACAGTTCTAATCAATTGCTTACAATTATAGTACAGCCTGTGCTGGCAAAAGCTGACTTTCTAGTGGCTTATCTTGATGAAGTTTCACCTGATTCCTCAGACTGTCTTAATTGACTTAAATGGTCCTTAGGATCTAGTGCCACATGGTTAATGTCACCAAATCTTTCCTTCAGCTGAATGCAGAATATATACCTAAAATAATAATTTTAGTGGGGAAATGCTGGTTACTCTGAAACTTATCTTTTTTTCCCCACTACCACACCCAAACACAGACACTTCTCAGCATACAATTGATGGCAGAAGCAGGGCACAGAGCACACCAAACTAAACAGGTGCATCATATACACACTAAGAGACATTTGGGGTTTCCTTAAATCAAAGCCTGCAAGAGCAATTTTGCTTTAGTCTTGCTGGGTTAAGTGCTTGGTAAGAATATTTAATACCTGTGCCTAAACACAGGGAAAGCTATATGCTCAGGGAAATGTAATGGAAATGAAGAATTAAACAAATGGAAAACCAGCCAGCATTATTCCAAAGACTGTCCACAGAAGTAGTTACACCAGTACACTAATAGTAGGACAATTGTAACACTATAATAACATCAGCACATTTCCTGAGTCTTGCTGCAGAGAAGGAGAACTTGTCTTAGTTTTAGAAAGGCTTGTCAGCATCCTTATTTCCAAGGAACCACTCCAAGTACTTCCTCTTCAGAGGAACAGCTCACAGCAGAGAATTCATCCTGAGATATTAATTTTAGGCCAAGGCAACTCCGGCAAACATAAGGTAAACTTCACCTAATTGTTCCAACATTGTTACAAACTATCTGTCTCAGAAAACGAATCATTTGATGAGAAGGAAGGCTCTACAAAGTCACCCCACCTCCTGAAAACTCAGCTACCCCAAGAGCAGCACAACCATAGTGCTAGCACAACCAGATTAGTTTAGACTGACAGGATGCTACTATGGCTTAATTAACAATATATGCCACATACCAAACACGTACAGCAAATCCTGCTTTCAAGGGATGGTAAGGTTTGTGTGGTTCTTTAATGCAATTAAAGAAAGCCTAGCTTACACTTCAGAACAGAATCAAAAAACCACCAAAGCCTTAAAACTTTATGAGGGCATATTTATCATTTTGCCTTTCAAAGACAACCTGCCTTTGTGCTCGTGGTTAAATTAACAATTTTAGATACAGAAAACCTAAAAGTTACATATGTTTTGGGGGTTATCAACCCCTGTTAGGTTTCCACTGCGGAGACCTGTAACACAGTTTGTTTCAATCAGGAAGCTGCACAGGAAAGAGCTGTACTCTTCCCGGCAGCGGCTTTATAGTTCTTTGATCCTCTTCCCTCATCACTATTCTTAAGCAAGAATGTGCTTTATGCAACTGCAAGGAAACCACTCTGTTACGCCGTGACACAGATCCCGACATTGTGAGGCCTCTCCATGCGTGTCCTTAGCTGTCACCTCGAACTCCCACACGCTCCCTGCCCTCACCATGGAAGCTACTAAACGCACTTTGCCCCCGATTTCACATGCAGAAAAGCGCCACGCGGACGTGTATCTGCCTCCCGGCCCACTCGACACCTGCGCTAACGGGAGGCAGGGTAGGACTATCGCCCCCTTTGTGTCCCCGCGTCCCAAGGGGAGCGGCCGGCCCTCCCCCGGGGTCCCGCCGCGTCCTCCATCCACACCCCAGCCCGCACCCTCCCAGGGGGGATTTAAACCAGAACCCGGAAGCCTACCCTGCCGACACAATGCACACCGGGAGCTGTAGTCCCAACTCCCCAGCGTCCATCCTGCCTTTGAGCGGCGGGGCCGGGGCGGGGAAACCACGAGTCCCGTGAGCCTCTGCGGCAGGGGGGGGCTGGCGTTTGAACCGGCGGCGTTGTTGTTGACGCCATATTGCTGGTGCGGGGGTTACGGCCGGGAGCGCCATCGCCGCCGCCATCGCCGCCGCCCGGGC